ATCCTTGAACACCCGCACCGATGGGGCCTCAGAGACCTCTCGTGGAAGCCCATTCCACACCCTCGGGGTCCTGACTGTCAGGAAGTGCTTCCTGGCATCTAAATGGAACCTTGGCTCCCTGAGCTTTGCTCCATTGGAGCGTGTCCTGCCTTCCTTTGCATGGGAGAACAGGTCTCTACCCATCTCCATGTGACATCCCCTCACATACCTGTATGTCGCCAACATATCCCCTCGGAGTCTCCTCTTCTCCAGGCTGAAGAGACCCAGTTCCTTCAGTCTCGCCTCATATAGCATCCCCTGCAAACCGACCACCAACCTTGTGGCCCTATGCTGCACTGACTCCAACCTGGCTATATCCTTTCTGTAATGAGGGGCCCAAAACTGAACACAATGCTCCAGTTGCGGGCACACTAGAGTCATGTAGAGTGGTAGTAATACCTCTCTCAATCTAGAAGCCACACTTCTGGCTATGCAACCAAGGGTGGCGGTCACCCTCTTGACCACCGCATCACACTGCTGACTCATGTTTAGCCTGCAGTCAACCAGTACCCCGAGGTCCCTTTCACAAGTGCTGCTCTCCAGCCACTTGTCACCTAACCTGTACTTATGACAGTTATTCCTGTGCCCCAAGTGCAAGACCTTGCACTTATCTACATTGAACGCCATCCTGTTGTCTCCTGCCCACTTCCATAGTCTGTCCAGATCCTTTTGGATCTGGAGTACCTCTCCTCAGTTGTGGCCACTGCTCCAGTTTTAGTATTGTCTGCGAATTTGATCAGCAGACTGTTCACCCCTTCTTCCATGTCGTTAATGAAAAGATTAAACAGGATCGGCCCCAGGACAGAGCCCTGGGGGACCCCACTTGTCACTGGCCGCCATCCTGATGATTCCCCGCTAATGGTTACCTTCTGCTTTCGGTCAGTCAACCATGCCCTAATCCACTGGACAGTGCTTTGGTGTATCCCAAAACTCCTCAGTTTCTCCACCAGGATATCATGGGGCACTTTGTCAAAGGCCTTGCTGAAATCCAGGTATATCACATCCACTGCATCCCCTCCATCTAGCCATCTCGAAACCTTGTCATAGAATTCCACAAGATTTGTCTGGCAGGACCTGTTTTTGCGGAAGCCGTGTTGTGTGGCTGTCAGCCTCCCTTCCCTATCTAGCATCACTCGATCTCTCTCTATTATGAGCCTTTCCATTGTTTTTCCTACAATCAACGTAAGGCTAACCGGTCTGTAATTCCCATGTCCTTTCTACTACCCTTTTTGAAAATTGGAACCACTGATGCCACCCTTCAGTCCTCTGGAACTTCACCCGTTCTCCACGAGGTCTCAAAAATGGAGGCCAGTGGGCGTGAAAGAACCCCTGCCAACTTTCTAAGTACTCTCGGGTGTAACCCGTCAGGGCCTGGCACCTTTGTAATGTCCAATGCCCTGAGGAGCCCCTCGACTTCAAGGGGGGGGTGACTCTAATCTGTGCCCCTAAGTCCCCAGCCTCATCTAATCTCCTATGCAGATCTCCCCCATCCTGCTTTGGGGAGAACACAGAGGCAAAATAGTCATTTAGCATCTGTGCCTGTTCCCTCATATCAGTCACTGGGTCTCCTTCCTCCTTATTTAGTGGTCCCACCACTTGTCTCCCCTTCCTCTTCCTATTTACATGCTGAAAGAAGCCCTTTTTGTTGCTCTTGATATTCTTGGCAAGTCTCAGCTCGTAATCAGCCTTAGCCTTGCGAAGAATCCTTCTGCAACGGGCCTCCTCCTCTCGGTATACCCTTTTGTCTATTTCCCCCAGGACCCATTTCCTACGGAGGTTCCTCTTGTGACTAATCCCTTTAACCACCTCCTTTCGCATCCATGGCGGCACTCTCCTCTGCGTCCCTACCTTACTGACTAGAGGTATCGTCAAGGCTTGTGCCTCCAAAACCTCCCTTTTGAGTGCTATCCACCCCTCCTCAACTCGCTTACCTTCCAGTAACCTATCCCAGGAGACTTTCCCCAGTCTGGCCTTCAGTTGGCCAGAATTGGCCCTCTTGAAGTCCCAGCTTCTAGCACTTGACCTGCTGCACATCCCCAGTCCCCTGATCTCAAAGCAAAGGATGGAGTGATCACTCGCATCCAGAGCTCCCCTAATCTGTACTTCATCTATCAGCTCCTCCCTATTGGTCAAGACCAAGTCAAGGATGTCCCCCCCCCCGGTCGCCTCTCGGACCCTCTGTGTGAAAAACGCTCCCTCAGTAGCTTCTAGGAAGTGACATGACCTGGCTGTCACCGCCGAGTGAGTCTCCCAAGTAATATCCGGGAGATTGAAATCTCCCATAATTACTGTGTCTCTCCCCCGAGATAGCCTTGGAATCTGGTCTGTCAGGACATCATCCAGGGTCTCAAGTTGATCTGGAGGGCGAAAACATACCCCCACTGTCAGGTCTCTTTCCCTGTCAACCCCTAAGTTTCACCCAGACTGCCTCTACCGAATCCCCATCTGTGTTGCATTCTATCTCACTGCATTCTATCCCTTCCCTGACGTATAAAGCCACGCCCCCACCTCTCTTTCCCTTCCTGTCCTTTCTAAAAAGGTGATACCCTTCTATGTTCACATTCCAGACTTGCCTTTCATCCCACCAAGTTTCTGTGATTCCAAGCAGATCATATCCTCCTATTCCCAGGAGAGCTTCAAGCTCTTCCTGCTTATTACCCATGCTCCTAGCATTGGTGTATATGCACCTCAACTCCTTCCCAGTGCTTCCTTTCCTTGGCGTTCCCAGCCTCCTCCTTCCTGATACCTGGCCCCTCTCTGTAGGAGTCCTGTCAGTCCCTGCAGTATCTCTAAAACCCTGCTCCCAGAGCCCTGATCCTCCCCACACACTTGTCCAGTGCAGACACGTTACTGGGGGGCCTGACCCCCCCCCCGGCTCAGTTTAAAGTCTTCTGGACGAAGCTCACTAGAGCATCTCCAAAGGACCTTTTCCCCATCCTTGTGAGGTGTAACCTGTCCGTTGCCAAAAGTCCATTGGCAAGAAAACAAGCGCCGTAATCGAGGAACCCGAAGCGTTCCTTTTGGCACCACACCCTAAGCCAGTTGTTCACCTCGGAGGCCCTCCTGTTCCTTCCTGGCCCAAATCCCCGGACAGGTAAGATTGACGAGAAGGCCACTTGGGCCTTCAGCTCTCTGAGTTTCTTCCCCAAGGCCTCAAAGTCCCTGGTGGTCCCAACCACACCCTGCCTGGGCACATCGTTTGTGCCCACATGGATCACCAGGGACCGGCTGGTGACCCCCGGAGTGAACAAGACACTCCACTCTGTCCTTCACATGCCAGATGCGTGCACCCGGCAGGCAGCAAACCTCCCTTGTCTTCAGGTTGGGGCGGCACACCGCTGCCTCAGTGCCCCTCAGTAGGGAGTCCCCAACAACAATCATCCGCTGCCGTACCTTCCCGGTGCTGGTGGGCGGCCGTGCCCTGGCCCTCGCCTCTCCTGCAGTGGCCCCCTTGTCGCCTGACGTCCCAGGCTGGGGGTCCTGCTGGTCCCCCAAGGCCTCATCAGCCCCAGCCTCCCCAAGTGGAGAGAACCTGTTTCCCAGCTCCAGATTGGTGCCAGGAGAAGGAGGAGGCCGTGCTGGCCTCCTCCTCCTGTGGGTGACATGCCTCCATGTCTGCGCAGCTGCTCCTCCCGTGGCCTCTCCCTCAACCCTCTGTCCAGAGGGGGGCTGCTCTGGAGGGGCCTGGAGAGCTCTCTCGGCCCTCAGGCACCTCACCTCCTCTTCTAGCAGGGTCACCATCTTGCACCGAGGGCAAGTGTATCCATGCCTCTCCTGGGGGAGAAGGGCGAACATGTCGCAGCTGTCGCAGTGGACAGCAACACCCGTGACTCCCGCCAAGGCCATCTCCTGGTCTGCCATCGGTATCCCTTCCGAGACCTTACCCTGGTCCCCTGCCTTGTCTGTCCTGCAGTTCCTCTCACTCTCCCAGTTCTCCTAGACAAAAACCCACTCGCACACACACACAAGGATAAAATAAACTTAAATTTAAATTGGAAGAAAAACAAAACAAAGCACAGCACAAACCAATCAAACAAACAAACAAACCTCTGTGTCTCAGGGAAGGGAGTCTCCGGACAGCACGGGCTGCAGCGAAGGGATGCATACAAGGGACGACGCCCTTCCTCTCTGCTGCTCCTGGCCCTCTGCTCCCCTGCCCAGCTCCTACCTTGCCTTCACCTGTCCCCTGGCCACTCAGCACTCTCCTCCAGCCTGTGCCTGTGCTGCTCTGCTGCTCTGCCAAGAGGCCAGAGCCAAAAGGGCTTGCAGTGGCTGAGCGTGGCCTTATCAGTCCCTCAGGCCAGTGGCCCCGCCTGTCCGCTTCCTCCTGGCTGCTCTAGCCTCTCTGGCCCGCCCCCTTCCTCTCTGCTGCTCCTGGCCCTCTGCTCCCCTGTCCAGCTCCTACCTTGCCTTCGCCCGTCCCCTGGCCACTCAGCACTCGCTCCCAGCCTGTGCTTCTGCTGCTCTGCCAAGAGGCCAGAGCCAAAAGCCCAAGAGGCCAGAGCCAAAAGGATATGGGCAGCATGCAAACTAGGGGTCATAACATTTGTGCAAAAACAGTGTACACAAAGCTCACCGTCCCAGTGAGCCCTATCTAGAAAGAAAAATACCTTTTCCCAGTGATAAAACACTGCAGTTTGGCTACTGAAGGAAATGGGAAATCCTTGCAGCAAGCTGCTTGGAAGGAAGCATTGAAGGCATTTCAAGAATTGCTGAGTTTTAAAATTCATTTTCCCTATTTAGCGTTGCAGTTTCTTTTAGGCCCTGATTTGAGGAAGGAGGAGACAAATGCGAACTTGATAGTTCCAGTCTCCTCGCTGAGACTCCAAGGGGTTGAACTGCGCTGTGAACCTGGAAATGGGTTTCTAACTTGGATGGCTTGAAGGGAGAGGGCTGGAACGGGTCATGGCCTCTGTGCTGTCTTCACATGCCCTGGGGTGCATCTGCTTTTTCTTTTGCAGATGGTGAGCGACTGGGTGAGGTAACAGACCCTGGAAGGCGAGCAGTGGGGGCGCATGCATCCTCTCCTCAGAGGAAGACCGAGGACTCCAGCGAGAGCCGGGAGGACGAGCAGATGGTAATCTCACTTATGCCTTCTCTCTCTCTCTCTCTCTCTCTCTCTCTCTCTCTCTCTCTCTCTCTCTCTCTGTGTGTGTGTGTGTGTGTGTGTGTGTGTGTGTGTGTGTAAAGAGACCACCTCCCTCACCTTCCCCCATATCACTGTGACAGTTATGCATGCTAGTAGAAGAGGATGTAACTCTTTAATCCCAAACTCCTTGAAGGCTGGGAGGGTGTTATGTTGAACAGCTTTTGAGATTTGGAAACACTATTTTAATGCCTTTCACAGTAGCAGGTAGAATCACCCTCATCAATACGATATAGCAACATGTGTTAATGATGTCTAGATGACTATTCAGGGTCCTCACTTTATGGCTGGCCTTGATAGCCAGCCCAGCATCTCCAGAGTGGTGGCTGGGTTGGGCTGTGGCCCAAAAACAACAGAGAACCCTGTGCATCCTTTAAGTGGGCACAGAACTGCTACTGCTCCCTCTGATCCCAGAACAGAGAGAGCAGAGGAGATGTGCTGCTGGGATTCGCCTGCACCAGGGAAAGCAGCTGCTTCTCTGTATGCGGGTGAGTCCCAGTGCTCGTTTCCCCCATTCCAGTCTGAGATCAGGAACAGCAGCTGGGAAGAGGGACAGCAGACACTGGGATTTGCCAAAGCTGGGGAAAGTGGCCAGTTTCTCCATGCATGAATGGGTGAACCCCAGTCTGCATCGCCCACCCCTCCTCCTTTCTGTAGTGGAGGAAAGAGGCAGAGCACATGAAGCAGTTGAGTCCCCTTTGCTCCCCCACTGGAAAAGCAAAGGGTGCTCAGCTACTCCTCTCTGCACACCCACCTCCTGCCTCCATGGTGGGGAGGAACAACAGCCTAGTCTAGCTCAGCTGTGCTGCATGTGGGTTTTCCCTAACCAGGAAAGCCTGCATGCTGCAAAGCCTTGACTCCGGCCCAAACTCTAGGTGAAAGATCCACCTAGTACTTGGACCAGGGATCAAAGGGTGTTGGGTAGCTGTGGTCATGCCCACTGACACTATACTCACCTGACAATTTCCCTGCCATATTCCTGCTCTACAATACATTGTTAATAATTTTTGCAGCCTGGGTCACACTTCTGTAACCCTCCTGTATCTGACAGCTAGCAATGGAGCTGTTTTGTTTTAAGCATGAAGTTTTCATCAGTGTAACATGAAGTAGCTTTTAAAAATAAAGATGTTTCCTAGTCAAGCAAGTACCCTTTCAGCAACTGAACCTTCCCCCTTCCACCTGCTATATCAGCTCATGAAAAAGAAATATTTTTTCTGCATCTTCAGGAATACAATCACAAGCTGCCACTGCTGCTCAAGTCCACTTTCATGCGAGTCCACTAGGCCAACTGCCTGTTAGAGGGCCCAATGTAGCCAAATTCCCCTCTTGCAAATTTCATCCTCCACTTTGGAGACAAATTTCCTCCCCAACACTAGATCACTAAAAAGAAGTGATTTTCTGAACCCCACAGGAGCCTAGATGTATGCTTTTGATCAGTGTATTGTACTCTAATGCAGGACCACCTGCTTCATATTTAGCCAAGCATTCCCATATTTCTGTATCTTCAGCTTCAGTGCTTCCTTTACTAGCAAACATCTTTTTATATTAAAAGGCTGTTTCCAGCCAAAACATTTTCTTTCTTGCCATGCCTTCTCTCAGCTTTCCTCCACAGTTAATGCCCTCTGCTTTGGCACTGTTCCTGCAGGTGGACATATTTTAATTTTTCACATTTCACTGAAGTGAGCACACCTCCAGAGAACCTTCTTTCCAGTAGTGCCTTCTCTTGGCTCCCCTGCCCTGCCCCACCCACATCAGTATCCTCCACCTTGGCAGGTCTCTTGGTGGTGAATACCTTAATTTTTTTAAAATTAAGGACATTCTATCATGTCCCTTCTTCATGATTCCCAGTAGAAAAAAGAGAATCTAGAAACCGAGAAGGGATAAAGGAAAAAATGGTGGTAGTATTAGCAAGATCACAAAATATGGCAGGTCTTTTCCCTGCTCTGGCCCGCTGGCTTTTTCCATTCCTAAATGTCTTGTGTTTATGAGGGTTACAGAGCATATGTGACAGGAGCCTGTGTGGCATTAGACTGGGAGTCTGGGGGTTTGAGTCCTGTTCTTTGCTCAACCATGAGGCTCACTGGGTGTCTTTGGCCCATCACTACTCTCAGCCTGGCTTACCTCCCAGGGCGAAGGAGGCAGTAAAATGGAGAGCAGCACATAAGCACCTTGGATCCTTTGCAGGGAAAAAGACAGGATATAAACGCAGAGCAGCAGGTGGGAATGCAAACATTACACAAAATTTGCAGCTCAGCTATAGAAAAGAAGGGAAATTTGTGCAAATTTCCTGGCAGAAAAAGTAAGTAGTTTGTGAATGCCTTCCTATGTTCATAAAGGCATGGAGAATTATTTCCTGTTTGCAGTCTGATGTGGGGAGTCAGCAACCCCATCAGAACAATTACAAGAAGGGTGCTGACATAGAGACTGAAAAACCCAGGATTTTGGCTGTGGAAGACATGCCAAAAGCAGGTAGAGAACTGAGAGGGAGGGATAAGCTCTGGCAAGCCAGCAGCTGCAAAGAAGGTGATCATCTGTTAGGAGTAATGGACAAGCCACCCACCCACTGTAGCTTCTTCTCAAGGTGGCTTAGCATGATGTGTAAACATGTCCATTGAGTCCATGACTGCACTGTACTGCCTCCCTTCATCTTGGCTTACAGCTAAATGCAACTGAGAAATGTTTTAACATACCATGCAGTCTTTGATGCGTTTCTGCAACATCGTTAGCTGCAGCCCTTTTAACTACTACTTGGGGTGGCTGCAGCTCATAAGTGGAGAGGAGCTGGAAGAATCCCTGTGCTGTCAAACAATGGGCCTGTTCTCAAATTTATGCAGGGAAGAAAGTGATTGCATGCCAGGAATTTTGGTAGATACTGGCATCAGGAGAGTGAAAATTTCTAGGTCTACTTTTTGTAATGAACAAACAGTGGGAGGAATGACAGCCAGACAAGCCGAATGACAGCCAGACAAGCCAAATGACAACAGAAGGATGTCCTGTTGTAGCATGCATAAGTTACCCGAGGAAGAAGGAACCAAATAATTAGCTTTGAATTATTTCCTGGAATTTTATTCAGCACAACGGCTTTTAAATGGGCTTCAAATGATCCATATGGAAGCTATTCACTCTAACAATTACTTTCCCTTGTGCAGCAATAGGCAATCTAATTGGAAAATAAAAAATAAAAATGGTTTCGGTATACATCTAAACAAAGCTGAAGTGTTAAGAGAGACTCTTACAGACAGCATGTGCCAGGAGATCACATAATGCAGGCTACCTAGAACTGGCGCATAGGAAAACTGACAGTTCATGGAAAAGGCAATGCAGGGCCAAAATGCTTCTCCCCCGACATACCAGTTTGCTTCACACAGGGAGGGTTTGTGCATGTATGTGTGTTTTTGCACAGGAAGCATTCCAGTGGATCCCCCAGTCTGCATCTTGAACAGGGATTTTTCTTAACTCTCTAATTTCAGTATCATGTCCATAATTGCATTTAATTACATACTGAATAGGAAAAGGAACAACAATCATTGCTATTACTATTATAGTTTTTAAGAACATTTCTTTAAAATAAATCTAACAGCAGAGACTGAAATTGCCCTCCATTGGCTAACAGGATTACATTGCATCACTGTCACCCACCTAGCTACTGCCAAGAACATCTATCCTATTGGATTCCACCCTTTTCCGACTTTTTCCACTGATAGTTCTGCTGTCACCTCTGAGCCCCAGAATGTGTTGTCAAGCTCAACTGATAACTAAAAATGGTGCCAAATCATGTGCAGAGTGCCTTTCATTCATCACCAGTAACAGCCCCTGCACAGAGCTTCTAGTGCAAACAGCACCTTCCTTTTGGTAGAAGTAATCACTGTATAAATTCAAATACAATTTTTTCAGGTTCCTCTGATACTGAAGTTCCCTGAAATGATGCACACATGCCCCAGCTAGGATTAAGCTGACAAGTGAAAGGACTTTTAAGCCCATCATATTTTGGGTGTTTCATGCAAAGACTCACTAGAAAAGACCATTATACCAGGGAAAGTTGAAGGTAAAAGAAGGAAGGGAAGACTAAATATGAAATGACAGGACTTCCTAAAGGAAGCCACAAAGGGGAGTTTGCAGGAGCTGAGCGGGGCTCCATGATCGGGACACTTGGGAGGGCATTCCTTTATGGGGTCGCTATATGTTGGAGAGGACTTGATGACATGGAACCCCAAATGACAAAAACATCTTTATCTCTCCACAATTCAGAGGCAGTCCTCTTGCTCTGTTCCCATCTTCTCCTCCCCATGCAACATGGCAGACGGTCAAGGCATCAGGCTGCACACTTGCCATGCCTTCTCCTTCAACTCAAGACTGGCGCTTTCACTCCCTGGATGCTACATCCTGCCTTCTTTTCAAACAACTACACTCCTAGAGTTCCTAGAGATGATGCTGAGAAAACAGAAAGATCTTCAGTGCTTGCTGAAGTGTGTATTACATCCATTTCTTACGCCAGGCCAGGATTTCTGAATGCTCACAATTGAACATAGATCATCCAGTCCAGGATTTATACTAGACTGACAAGACAAGGACTAGTCTGCCTGTGGTGGCACATAAGGAAAGAATAGTAAACAAATCATTTATCTGTGAGGCCCTGTTTCCAAGAATTCCAGGCACCTGCCCTCCAATCTCCCCGCAACATAAAGGCTGCACTCTCACACCCTCAAAATACCTGCTGTGTAAAAGACTTTTGTGGCCCAGAGAAAGTGACAACAGATTGCTCAGGGAAGGCTGGAGAGACTCAAAGAGAGTTCAGCTCAGTAAGACTTGCTGGCAAAAAGGAGCCCCCAGATTCCTCCCATCTGAAAAACTTGCTCTCTTTAAGGGCTTGACTGTTAACAGGGCAGAAAAGAATGAAAGCCAAACAAAATAAGTACAGTCTTTCTCCATAA